CAGACATCATGTGCCCAGAATCTACCAGCAACAAGTTCCTCCTCCTGCTTCCCTCTGCATTCCTTCCAGAACCATATTGGCAGGTAAATATCCAAAGTTTTGTTATTGTTACTGTTCTGTGGTGGTCAGGATGTTGAGAATAGAACATATCAGGGAAACATTCTTCCACTGAGCTACATCCCTGCCCCTTCTTGGTAGTTTTTTTTAAAGTAGGTGACCACCTCTATATTATACTTTGAAAATAAACATCTGTACCCCCAAAGGATATATGTATAACATTGATACTTCAGACCTTAGGATGAAGGTGGCTAGAGGTATGGGAGATGGAGGGATGCCCTAGTCACCCCCACCAGGGCTATCCATGGCATTATGAGGTTAGTAGGTACTGGAGGCCTACAGTGCTTCTATTCCAGTCTTACAGTTGAACTTGAGGATTATCAGAAGCTCTTGATCCCTCAACCTAGCTGTAGATTAAAAGCATACTTTACAAAGAACTAACATGTAATTTTTGCTCTGCTGCATGTTAAGATGGCAAGATTGAAATAATAAATGGTATGGAAAATAGAACTATAAATATCATTGCAGCTGTTTTTAGAAAATATAGTTAGCCTAACTATAATCAGAAAAAAAGACTAATTAATTGCATGCTTGGCATATTTTCGAGGCCTATCCAGTACCTGTTCATTCCTTTTTATTCCATTTTATTTTAAAAACAGAAACATTGGTGTGGCTAGCACATGGTCTGCAGGCACTGTAGATAACTGGAATAAGGTAGATGTTCCTGTTGTAATATTCGTTCCTTCTAAAAATCAACTTTATTGAGGTGAATTTAAGGACAATAAAGTCAGTTTTCTTTGAGACAGGAATTCCAACTATGTAGCCCAGGCTGTCCTCAGCCTCCCTAGTACTAGGGTTATAGGCGTGAGCTGCCACATGTGGCAAAAGTCACAAATTTTAATATGTCGTGATATTGGAGCCATTATAATTATGACAAAGACCCTTGCTTTCTGTCAGCCCAGAACTTCTCTTGTGCCCCTTCACCTATGGGAGGACCTGAAACATGATGTGCCCTCTGTCGCCTGGTATTGACTTGTCCAGACTGCTATGCAAGTGTGGTTTTGGTGTCCTGACCCTTCAGCATACTGCCCTGAGGTTCATCCTGGGTACATGGGTACCATAGCTTCTCTCTTTTCTTGCTGAGATTCTCAGTTCTCCCTAGTTACACTGTCCCACACTCTTTATCTGTTTAGCAAGTGATGTGCATTTAGGTTGCTTCCAGTTTTTAGCCACTGTGAATAAATCCTTTAGTCCCATGTTAATGATTACTTTACCACCATTACTCTTGTCCTAACTGGCATAAAAGGGCTAAGTATAAGCTTTGTTAAATGAGACCAGCAGTGATTGTGAGAGAACAGAGAGGGAAAACTCACTGAGGGAGACTGGTTTAGCTCTCCTCAGGAGGTCACCAAACCTGCTAGGTCAGTCCTCTCAGTTTTCTGTGTTTTGGTATCTTTCTCCCCTGTACATTTTCTTGTGAAGTATTTCTCCATCAGACTGTTTGTTTTTGTCCATTTTGAACTCCCTGCTAGCACAGGGCCTGTGTATGCCTTATTTGTTTTTATTTGGTGCAATTCCTAATAGAGCATCTTTCACTCGTAGACTCGGGATCAATATGTAGTGGACTCATTTGAATGCTCTAGTCTTTTCCTTGGCTTCCTGAGTGGTTTATATTAATTCTTTCAGTCCATTACTGTATTTCCTGTAGAGTGTTATGAGTTTTCCTAAGCAAACACAATGTTATTCCTACCTGTGTATTAAAATCATTCATGATGTCATCTATGAGTTGATTTCAAATTTTTTATGACGCTCGGATTTTTAAAAAAAATTTTTATTTTATGTGTATGAGTGTATTGCGTGCATGTATGTGAGTGCATCCGTGTTGTGCATCGCCACAGAGGTCAGAAGAGGGCTTTGGATTCCCCTGGAACTGGAGTAAGGCGGTTTGTAGCTGCCACGTGGGTGCTGGGAATCAAACCTGGGTCCTCTGCAAAAGCAGTCAGTGCTCTTAACCGCTGAGCCAACTCTCCAGCCCAACCCTCAGGGTTTTTATGTGTCTTGTGTTTTGTTGTTCAGCTCCAAAATGAGAAGGTTACATGAAACAAAGTGAGATTCCCTTTCATTTTTAACATTCCAAGGTTTCATAAAAAGCTAGCCAAATCAGAAAGAACTTGTAGGGGTAGAGGGCAACAGAGGAGGGTTGGTAAAGGAAGGAGGTAGGAAAGCAGTAATATGCCATGTTTCCTCTGTGAAAATGTTCATTCTCCAGTAGAATAACAGAGAAAGATAGAAGAGACACAAGACAGTAAGTAACTCAATGTTTGTTGGCAGAGGGGACTTTTAAATTGTTTTATAAAGAGAATTACAATTAAGCCAGTGGTTCTTTTCTCTAGTCAGTTTAGAACATCAGTAATTAGGCAGCTTCTCATCAGTGACAGAGGCAGTCATTTATGTCAGGAAACTAAGAGTCCCAGTTTGCAACATACAACCCCTCTTCTGACTGTTACTGGGTATTATTAATAAAGCCCACCTTTCCCTTCTCAGATGCATATTGAACAGTGCATCTTACAGTCACTTGAGTTTTACAGGTTTCAGAAACCCATGTCTCCCGGCCTGTAACTGGTACTCTAGCTGGAGCTCAAACTTGGGCATAGCTGCTCAGTGAAAGTGTTCAGAATAAGTCAACCCCTTCAGCAGCACCTCCTCTAGCAGGCAAAGCCAGTGGAGCTGATCTAGTCCAAGCACTCTGTTCTAATGCATCCGAGTTTTTCCTGCTTGTATAAGACTTGAGCAGATCTCCTGTTTCACCTGCAGACTTCATTCCTCCTTCACCTTCCTTTTACCTCCTTATTCAGGGCATAAGAACATCTAGTCATTTGACTAGATGGACTACCCATTTTCCCTGTGCTGAGCAATAAGCTGTGCTTGGGGAAGAGAAAAATAAAGATGACAAAGGAGACAGACATGTAAATCAGTAACAAACGCATATTGAGGTCATCCAAGGAAGAATAGTTGATTTAGGGGAGAGAGGCAAAAGAAGGGCAGAACTCTGTGGTATATCCTAAAGGAACAGTATGCATCATGCAGAGGAATTTGAATGAGTGGACCAGGGCATTCCAAGAGGAGGAAGAAACATGTGCAGTGAACCCTAGCCAGAAAATGCGTGGTGTGAAGCGGGAGGCAAAAAGTAGCCTCGTCTGACTACCCATTTGTTGCGATATACTAGTTTGGAACTGAGTGTGAGACAAGACCTTGGACCACATCCAGGGGGGTGTTGTTGTTAGAAGAACCAGAAGGGACCTTATTTCACATTTAGCATGGACCCCCGATGATTCCGTTTGAGTGAGGTGTGGGTGTATTTTCATTCTGGAATTTTACACTACAACATTACCACATGCATTGACCAATTTCAATACAGGCTTTCCTTATGTTGCTTTATAATTAGAAGCCAGTGAATTGAAGTTCCACAGCGGTACATAGACTAGCAGTGATAGCTTTATGGAATTGTTTATTTTTAGTTTGGCAAAGGCTAGGCAGTAAATATCTCAATTAGTAAACTAAAGCAGCATGGATGAGAAATGCCCACAAGGAGATCAGGAGTTTGAAATAACTGAGTCACTTAATTGAAGGGAACCCTCATACTGCTTTTTCCTAGTTCGGGCTTGAAGAACCCACCCAGCATAGGTTTCGAATGTGACATATAAGATGTTCACAGTGTCAGTGTGATGGGCATTTCCACTGCCCGGGTTCTACTTGTTCAGGAAGTCTCTCTCAGGGTGGGGATGTAGCGGCGTAGGCAGAGTACTTGCCAAACATGCATGAAGCATGGGTTTAGTTCCCAGCACCTTACAAAGCCTAGCTTGATGATGCATGCCTGTAATCCCAGCATTCAAGGTAGAGGCAGGAGAACCAGAAGTTCAAATTCATCCTTAGCTTCATAGCAAGTTTGAGGCCAGCCTCACTGCATGAGACTCTGTCTCAACAAGACAAGAAAAAGAAGTTTCTCTTTTAAGGAAAGCTGCTGTGACTGAAACCTGACCTAAAGGATAGGGCAGTATGCCATCACAGTAGGATAGTGTTTTGCCTTCATCCTGCAATTTTTGTCAACATCACCTAAAGAGAGCTTTTATTATGAAGTGCTGAGGGAAGTTGCTCATCTTCATATTCCTGTTTACATTCACATTCCATGGGCTGATGTGGGACAGTATTTCATGAAAGCAGGCATGTGGTGCTGCAGAGTCATTTGCTGGCTTCTAGACAGTGTCTCCTCCATTACATTTGAGGTTCTGTCATATATTTTAGAGGAAAACCAGAGGTAGTCTACAAAGCTTAGTTTTAAAATTTAAAATTTAGAAATCCACAATCTTTAGGAAATACTGGCCATTCAGAAGATGAAAGAGTAATGATAGTGCAAAACAGAAAGAATGAAACAAAAAAAGTACATGTACTTTAAATATTCAAAATGCCAGGGCTGGCAGGAAGGCGCAGCAGGTAAAAGCACTTGCCCTGTAGCCTTATAGCCCAAGTTCAATCCCCAGGACTCACATAGTAGAAGAAGAAAACCAACTTCCCCAGGTTGTCCTCTGACCTCCACACCTACACAGTGGCATGCACATGCTGCCCCAACACACAAAATAGGTAGGTAAGTAACAAAAACTGAAAATGACAAAGGTATAAAAGATCAATATTCAGATGTCCATGTTTTTTATTTTTAGAGCTTCATCCTTTAGTCTTTGGACTTTTGGCATGTATCTCACACTGCGTGAAGGGTCCTTTGGATTTTCCCTCTCCTAGTCGGGATGGGGAGGCTACAGAAAAAAATTTTTTGGATGTTTCACAGATTACCTATCTGCTGTCTGTGGTCTATAAGGGAAATGATAAGGGAAATGATGGAGGTGCGTGCACCTGCAGATTGCATTTCTGTTTGTCTCTCTGTTTTGCAGACTGGAAAAAGATAGCATTCAGCAGAGCTTTAGCAATGAAGCAAAGGCCCAAGCCCTTCAGGCCCAGCAGAGAGAGCAGGAGCTGACACAGAAGATACAGCAAATGCAAGCCCAGCACGACAAAACTGGTGGGTGGTAGGGAGAGATTAGAGCCTGGGCACTCACTCACAAGCTAGGCCCATGCCTTACTGTGAAATGACATCAGGAACACCTGTAACCTTTGGCTGGCCGAAGGGAGCAGATGCTAACTACACCGGAGATTCCGAATTACATATTAGTTAGCGTTTAAAAGAGAAAATGGAAAGTATTGCCCACTGTCTGTTGATTTCAGAGTGCTGCTCTCACATCTGTTGCACCATCTGGATTATGAGTTTATTTACCTGTGTTCAAGAAACGTAAAGCTGAGAGAGACCACAACAAAGTAGAAAAACAAAGGGCTTGTTTTTGGCTGGGTTTTCAGGCACACATGTTATATAAAGAAAATAGCATCAGAAGCTCTGCGGGAAATGCTCTGAGCTTACAGTTAGAGGCTCCTGAATAGCATTGAACAGTTCCCACAGTACACACATTATAGCTACTCTAAAAGCCTAATGAGTTTGCTTCAGCATCCAAACTGGAGAAAAGCTTTAGCCATTAATCGGTTCTTAATTCACTGTCGCAGCTGGATGTAATTCAGCAGCTCCAAATTGATATGTTCCTTTATTTAATCTTTGCAGCTTCGAACATTTTTAGCATTTCTATGATTTCCCCACCTCCCCCAATCCAATCTAGAGAACTTGCATTCTTCAAGTTCTCACAACTGCTGTTAAAATTCACTAATACAAGGCATTGACCACAGCTGGCAGCTTGGCTAAAAATTGCCATCTTTCATCACGTTGGCACTATTCTGCAGACGGAGTTGGCCAGTAACTCTTTACCTTTAATTTGAAAGTAAAATGCACTTTGAAAATAGGCAGTTTGATGTGTTCAGTCAGAGCATTATGTAGTTCTTTCACTTTTGAGTTGTGTGTTCACAGACAGTGTTAGTCAAAACAAGACAGTGTCAGTCATTATAATTCCCACCACATACTCCACGATGATTGTACTATTAAAACAAAAGTTTAATTGATCCTGTCTCTTCCAGAAATTTTTGCTTAATTTTAGCGCCTTCATTTATTTTGCCTTGTATGCTATATGCTTTTTTTTCAATCATTAGTTAAAATTGAAAAAGAATAATTACCTAGTATAAATTTCACAGAATATTTGATGATATGGTAAAAAACTGATTTTACCTGTAGGTGAAAAGTGGGCAACATGAAGTTCATGAAGTTATCTGTTTACTTACAAAGGCACCCCGCATAATGGCTCCAGCATCTCAGTAGAGATTTTCCTTCTCACAGCATTTAGCCAGAAGAAATGAAAATTTACCAGATTTGTAGATTTTTTCAACTAAAACACAAAGAAGAAATCATAGGATAAATTGTTGTTTGTCCCACTGCTAGCAGGATCCTAGTGGTCCAAGAGTCTTGGATAGAATCTTAGGGTTAGGTAAGTTTTTAAGTATTAAAATCGCCTTAGGAATCTTTTTATTTTGCCTCCTCCCTGCCCTCTACACACAAAAGCTATGCTTTCTTCAATTTCTTTGACCAGATCTTTATTGTAGCACATAGTATTAGCAGTAAGATAAAAATCCCAAGGAAAATCTTGTATTTCACCTTCATAATATGAAAACATGCAAATTCAAGGCGGGGGGGGGGCTCATGGGAAAATATAAAATATAAAGCATGAGTTACAGTATAACAGAGAATTCCTTGATTTTAGTTTTGAATTAATCTGTTTGTGAGTATTTTTGACACTGTTTATAGTAAAATTGTCAAAATAAAAATATATCTTGCATATCACAAAGATATAAGCATCTATGACTTCATTTGAGATATCTGACAATTTATAAACATGCTAAAATGTTACACAAGCTAAATATGATAAAAATGTCACTGATACACATTTTTACCATGAAAAGATTCAGTGTCTCTCCAGCTGATAAGTCCTTTCACTTAGGACTTTGACCGTGAGTTGGCAGCTCTAGGAAGGGCATAGGGATCTGAAACACTGTGCATGAAGCATTGAAGACATACAGCCATAAACATCTTATGTTGGTGGGGATTTATTGTTATTTCTAGAAAATGAACAGTATTCATTGCTGGCCTCCCAGAATACATTTTTGACAAAATTAAAGGAAGAATGCTGTACGTTAGCCAAGAAACTGGAGCAAATCTCACAAAAAAGCAGGTAGGTAACTAGGTAATGTTAAACAGTTTTTCAGAATACTGTTTGATTACTATAATTTAACCTTGAAATTTCATTTTTACTGTGTTGTAACCTAATGTTGAAATTAGTCATCTGGTGATGTAAGTTTTCTGTGAAACATTTTATCTGTGTGTATATTTTTTGCTATTGTCTGTCTACACATTGTTTTTTCACTCCCAGGGTTGGAACCCAGGGCCTTGTACATGGTAGGCAAGCACTCTATCACTGAGCTATGCCACCAGCCCCAATTTTGATTTTTTTTTTTCATGATTACTCATACCTACAGTTACTTGACTTTTGCAATATTTAGAATTTTAAACCATGAAATACAAGCAAGTCAAGCAGGTTTACATTGTTATGTTGATATAGGTAATGCATTTTAATCTATTATCACAGTTCTTTATGAACACACAAAAACTGTCTTTAAGCCAAATCATTGGGGAACTTGAAGAGGCAAAGATGCTGGATATATATTCCTTAATTTTCACAACAGCTTAAGATGGTAATTATTTTCTTATTTTTTTAAACTTAAAAAAATTATGTTTTATTTTTATTTTATGTGTATGCATGTATTGCCTGCATGTAGGTAAGTGCACCCATGTCATGCAATGCCCACAGAGGTCAGAGAGGCTGTCAGATCCCCTGGGACTGGAGTTACAGACAGTTGTTAGCTGCCATGTAGGTGCTGGGATTCAAACCCGGGTCTTCTGCAAGAACAACCAGTGTTCTTAACCACTGAGCCATCTCTCCAGCCTCTAGACAGTAATTATTTTCTTTTACAAATGAAAAAAAACATAATTGTTTGAATAACTTGTGAGTAGGAAAGATAGAGTTCTAACCTAGATACTGTTACCAATGTCTATAGTCTTTCTTACATTCATGGTAATATTTTACATTTACCACTAAAGAACATTTTGGCCTGTTGGGTACAGTGACTTGCTCCCATTACTGAGCAAGCTAAGGCAGAAGGATTGCTTGAGCCCAGTGTCACGGTGCAAGAGTCTGTCTCTTAAAAGAGCGAAGAAGAGAGAAGGAAAGTGAAAGAAGAGAGGAGAAGAGACAAGATAAGATGAGAAGACAATTGTTAAGCCTACAATATTAAATATGGGAAAGGTTAAATTGGACAAATTAACCTTTAATCTCCTGTAGAGAAGTAGGCGTATTTGACAGGTAGTAGTTAACCTGTGAGCCAAGGTTGACCTCTGTGTCTCTGGGCACTCTTTTTCCTCATAATCCATCAGCTGTACCCTGTACAGGTCTAGTGAACTTGAACCTCAGTGACTCTCTAGTTCTGACCACTACTTTTGTAAACTGAATATGCTCCTTCATATCTGACACATAGATGGCACCCAATGCATATTTATTTAAATGAATGAAACAAACAGGTGTGGTGCTGCCCCTCCACATGCTGATCTGATTTCGGATGCCAGCCTGTTCTTCTGTGAATAACAAGCAATATTCAGGAAAGGACTCTTTGGAATTCAGAACTAGGTTTGAATCTTGGTTTGTCAGTCACTTAGGTCTGTAACTTTGAGTGCATTGCCTAATCCACCCCCCCAAACCTCTGCTTTGACAGCTGTAAAAGCATTTCTAAAACTATGTTGTACAATGGTTGTAGGAATTAGAAGTAGACACAATGACAAGCACACACACACAAATGTACTGTCATTCCTCAGCAGCTGCAGGGTGTTGGTTCCAGGACCTACTTGAATACCAAAATCCACATATACTCAAGTTCCTTACATAAAGTTGTATGGTATTTGCCTACACCTGTGCACATTCTCTTGCTGCATATATTTATTTTATTTTATTGTGGTGCTGGAAATGAAACCCAGGACCAAATACATGTTAGGCAAGTAGTCTACCACTGAGCTGTGCATTAGCCCTCTCCCATATACTTTAAGTTATCTCTGCATTATTTGTAATACCTAATACAATGTAAATGCTATCTGATTAGTGGTTATACTATATTGGATAGAAAAAAATAATCATAAGGGAAAATGTGCATGTTCAGTACAGACTGAGCATTTCAGTGTGTGGTTGGTTGAATCTGCAGATACATAGCCACAGGTAAGGAAAAAAAGTTATGGAAAACACCCAGCACAGTGCTTCTTGCCACATGGTGAGGGGTCACTGGCAGAACTGTTTTCAGGCTCTTGACTGGCAATTTCAAAAGCACTTTACCAAGCTGTCACTGTCTTTGCCGGGGAAGATCTGAGTGGCATCCTCTGATGGGCATAAAGTCTGTCATGGTGCAAGCATCCTTAAAGGCCACACAGCCTCGGGAAAGGTGGGGCTGTGGCAGGGCAGCATAGGCTCTGGCACCTGGCCTACTGAGTGAAGAACTAATATATTCAAGTTCATTCAAAACTTAGGCCTGAGAAGTGGCAGATAGCAATAAATTGCTCCTTGTTATTTTAAAAACTTATGTGCTGCACAAGAAAGCAGTATATAGGACAAATTGTGATGTTTAAGGCTGTTTATTTGTTCTTAATTTTTTCAGTCCAGGCTCATTTCTCCCTCGCTTGCTAAAGAACAAAGACATTTCAACCCATTCTTTTATGTCCAGCTTAAGATTCCATTTTGATATCACCTTCTGCTGTGAAATCTCCTGTAAAACCTAAAGCACTCAGAATCTTTTAAAATAAAATTCATAAATGTAATGGGGCCTATCCAAACCCCCCAGGAGTATGCTCTGCTCACCGTACACCAAGCTTTTGGGATAATAATTTCTGCTGTCCTTTGAGGTGAAGAAATTTTAGTTTCTCGAGTTCTGTCAATGTGAAAACTCTATCTCAAGAAAAATTGTTTAATCCATATAGTAATTTTTGTTCAGATTTTCTTCAAAGTACAATAGTAATATTTTAAACTATACCAAAACTTTATATTTATAATAAAAACCACCCCTCAGGCTTTGTTTCCTTCCTTTCCTTGCTGACATTTCTGTGAGCATTTTGTATTGTTCAGAGTGCCATGTTAAACAAATGGACTCAGACCATTTACAGCTTTTTCACTTACAGTCCCAGCCATTCGATTAGAGCCCTTGCAAAGTCACTAGAGAAGCTGACAATCTGGGCTCTCTGTACCGTACACTCTTCCTATTCCCAGCCACCTACAAGGCTGCACTTGGAAAATATTCTGAAGTGTGTGTGTGTGTGTGTGTGTGTGTGTGTGTGTGTGTGTGCGTGTGTGTTTTCTCTCCAAGTAAACCATACGTAGCATCAAGACAGCGACAACTGCTTTATCTTGGAAGCCTCCATAGCCATCAGCCTGTACCTTGTACTGTGCATTCTCTACACTGTACACATAGTGGTGTCTGCAACCCCAGGGGTTGTGAGAGGCACATCCCATTTTAAAAAATCAAAACAGAAATGCCAGTTCTGTGTATATTTTATAGCTTGTTTTTGACCATCAGGCAGGAGAAATAATTCCATTTTGTTTTTAATTGACACCAAGCAGACATTTTGGCTGATTTTAGATAAAGCTTACATTAACTTTAGCTACCCTTTGCCTCTGTGTTCCCTGTTACTCAGAGAGCTTATACAGTTATCAGGTTGTTCCTGAGGAAGGTAAATGGACTTAAATATCTTTGGTACAGTTGACTTTTCTTTGTCAAAGTAAAGTAAGTACATGTTCCTTCTCCCCAGGCATTTGGAAGAATCCGTAGTAAAATGTTAGCAGTGTGGTGGTTTGCAGTGTTGTCTAAAACCTGGCCTGGGGAGAGCTGGGAAATGCTGGGCACTGGCTGGGAGTCAACCTCTGCCCACACCTTAGAGACTATATGTGTTGGATATCCAGTGCCTCTCATGTTAGGTCTCAGCCTTTCTCCATTTGTGTGCTGGAAAGAACAAGAGAGAGCACAGGGCTGGGTCTACGTGATTTCGCTTCTCGGTCTTTTTTCCAGTCATTGTCACTTGCTGGGTTGCTAGGCTTGTGGATTGATGTCTAGCACTGCCCATTGTGTATTTGTGATTTGCGTTTTGTAATTAAGAGGAACAATGGGAGTCCTTGGGGTCTCGTTATATATAATGGTTGGTTTAATTTGTTTCACTTCTATCTTGTTAATTGTAAATTGATCATTAAGATCTGAATTCTAATCTGTCACCAGGGTTGTGAGTATTGAGGCTAGAGCCATGATCCTGGTTTTAATCACTGATGATGAGAAACAAATTTTATAATTTTGGTACATATTGCAGTTCATATATTTTAACACTGTATTTTATGGTGTTATAAATATTGTTAAATGACTTTTAGTGTAGTTTTACTATGTGGACTATAATGTATAAATTATATTACTGTTTTGGCAACAGTGGGTATCCAACTGTGTGAGTTTAATTGAAGTAAAAGAATACACACCCGGTGAACTATTTTTTTTTCCCTTTTCATGTTTAGATGATGTTAGGTTGGGATGCTACAAAAATTACATTCTACAAGAGGAGACTGATATTAGCCTTTTGCTAATTGTTACCAAAAGTCAGATCAGGATCCAAAGGAATAAAAAATTAAGGTGTCATATTTTTTCCTTTAAAAGCAATTATCATTGTAATCTGAATTATAACAGTAAAATGTTTTCTGTTTCATGCAAATGCAATTGCAAGATATAGATGCTGCATAAAAATGCAGGGAAGGCTCATGCTTCCGTAGAGCCAGAAATGACCTAAATTTCCATGAAAATGGATTAGAGTCACTTTTCCTTTCATAAGTAGGACTTGATGTTCACTGCTTTAACTTTACAGACCACTGGTTCTATGACCATATTGTGAGCTCTACCCAAAAAAGAATGATGTCTATGCCCACATAGCAAATTTGTATTGAACTGTAGAAGTTGGTAAGCAAGTTGCCAGTATAAATAAAGAAATAAACGCAAAATATACAAGGCAGAAAAACTTGTTACAATAGTACATTTAGTAGCATTTATGTTTTTGTGATTATTTAAGGCATCCTCAATGTAGGGAATTTAGGTTATAAGAAAGTTAAGGAAGCATTTTCTTGTAACATTACTAGATAATTATTATTTTATGACATACTTTTGAGTCATTTTTCATGTATGTATAAATATGTATATAAATGTTTACTTATTTGTGTTGGGATGGATGGAGGGAGGGATGGATGGATAGATGGATGCTATCTGTGCAGTTTCTCATCTGCTTCTTACCTACTGTATCATTAATAAACATGGCTAACCCTCAGTGAATATTCTGGAAACAAAATTTTAATTGAACCATTTAGTATTTATTATTATTATATATTAATAAAACTATAACTTTTTACATAGGCAAATATTTACAATTTCTTTAGTATAGGTGCCTAAAAAGGAATTGCTGCTTCAAAGACCAGAAATATTTTCAAGACTATTAATGTGAGTTATCTTGCATAAGTATTACACTAAATTCTGCTCAAAATACATGTATCTATATAAATATGTGATGTTAAAAGGTAAAATTTTCAAAGAAAAAGGAGTGAGAGACAGTATTCCATGGTAGGTAGAACTTTCCCTTTACAGTTGGACAGACAGGATTCAAGAATCACACCAGTGACTGGCCAGTTTCCATTTGGGTAACCTTAGATGACTCATTAAACTGCATATTTCCCTCACAGAGAAAAGAAAATGAACAATTACTTCCCAGGGTATTTGATATCATTAGAGGATAGTTCCATTCTTTGTGACCAAGTAGGAATGAAGTAAATATTTGACAATACTATCTAATCTTATGCATTTCTTCAAATAATAGAGTGACCATTTTACAGATGTTTATTAATATCATGTTTCTTCCTCTAGAGAAATTTTCCATATTCCTTACATTTTAGTAGTGACCTCGTTACATAGGAGTAGTGATACTGATGCTCTTAATTTTCAATCGTCAAATATTTTGTAAATGTCTTCCCAATATTACATGCTTTTTTAAACCAATAAACTAATTTTTTTTATTACTGAGCTTTTTTAATTTCATAGAACATTTAATAAATTTTTTAAGGACAATTTAGGTTTGCTAGCAAAATTAAACAGTTAGTAGAGCAAATTCTTATGTATCCTGACCATCACCAGAACGCTCCCTTCTGCTAGTCTTTATATTTCATTGAAATTTTTTAAATTTTATTTTATTATTTTTTAATGTATATGAGTGTTTTACCTGCGTGTATGTAGATATACCACGTGCCTGCAATGTCCATGGAGGCCAGAAGTTTTCAGATCCCCTGGATTTGGAGTAAGGGCAGTTATTAGCCGCTATGTGTGTGCTAGGAACTAAGCCTGAGTCCTCTGCCAGAGCAGCTGGTACTCTTAACCTCTGATCCATCTTTCCAGCCCCTTAATTTTATTATTAAGAACTTTTTTCCAAAATCAAAATAACTTTTAAAAACATATATCACTGTAAAAATTTATGAAATATAGAAAAAGATAAATGAACAAGCAAAAAAATTCCTAATCCTACAAGAAATTATTATTAATATTGAGTGTTCAAAATAATTGTAAAAATAAAAAGGAATTGTATTATGCACACTGAATTTTAATGTTTCTCCTTTCTTATCACAATATAACATTTTAGTAAGTAAGTAACACTAATAAACAGCCACATTACCAAAAATGTTGATGTTCTATTATATAGATAAGATAGCTGGTTTCCTCTTGATACATTTTTGGATTAGGTTTTCATACAATGGATTGCAGATCAATATTTTTTTTCTAGAACAGTGCTACAATGAATATTGTCACATGAAAATATGACTTTTTTCTCAAATATATGGTTTCCATATATAAAGGTTTTATATTTTTGTACAATCTGTGTGTGTGTGTGTGTTTTTGTGTGTGTGTGTGTGTGTGTGGTTTTTCTTTACAAATGTCTGTTTGCTTGGAAGTTGCCTGAGAATAGATATTCTCCATTTGTTTCTTTCCTAATCTGGTTTAAGGATTTTCCCCCTTTTGCAGTTTATTTTAATGCATGATAAGAGATACTAATTTGGGAAGAAATACTAAATTCAAAAATATTATTGCATCTACATTCTATTTTGTATTATATATGATTTTGAAGGGATAAACATAAGTCATTATTCAGTCATTTGGACTATTTCAAATATGGGTAAATTCTTAGTAGGAGAGGCAAGTGTAGACGGAGTACTTGAGCTGAGCTCAAAAATTTGATAAGCCATTCTCTGTCACCTACACTGGTAAGAAGTGTGAGGCACAGAGCACAGCTCAAAAGCACACAGACTATAAGCTAACATGCCTAAAGGCCACAGGTGGTTCACGAACTGCTGACACTTGAAGGCTGAGGGACTGATCTGGGCAGGCTCCCCACAGGATGCCATGTTTGAACAGACATGAAAACGGAGTGGGAACAAACTGGGATTAAAGGCACGTGCCACCACGCCTGGCATAGGAAACCAATTGTTATCCTGAAAACTACTCATATGTAGAGGAAATTCAAACTTCCACTTCTAACTAATACACTGCTAGGACATAAGGAGATGGCAGTGGCAACAGATCAGAGTTAGTTTCAGAAAAAAAGAGAAAAGGACACAGCTTTACTTAGATATTTTTCTTATCTGCAGTTTTTGAGTGCTGGGATTGTCACCTGAGACACTGAAAACATAGTATGTGTTCTGAAAGACATCAGCTGTAATCACTGGAGACGTCAGTAATCACAAATGAAATACATGAAGACAGAAAGATTCAGGGAATAGTGTCTACTTAGAGTAGAGGAAGGTGAATCATGTGTCTGCAGAGGGTATACATATCAGTGAAACAGGCTGATCTACTCTTTGATTGAGGAAGAACTGGGCTGAGACCAGACTTGAAGATTCCACTCCCACCCCTTGCAGCTACATGATGACTCTCCTCTATGCAGAAGACTAAGGGCCTTCCCTCTAAGATGCTGAGCTGGAAAAGCACTGGCTACAATAAGAGGCACTGAAATTGCAATTGTAAGGATTAAAAGAAAGTCTATATTCTGAAGAGTAGTATCTTTACCCCCTTTCCATCCAGCTCCATCATGGTATGTGGACTGTGCTATACACAAAGGCAGGCAACCAGATGGTGCGCAGAATGAGCACAGAAGAAAGAATGGAAGATACTGGGGATGTCACATCCGAAATGGTGGCTTGCCACTCAGTCACTCTATAGTGAAACCCACTAGTTTGGAGAAAATAAACTAAGCAAGTGAAAATGTAATCATGAAGTGCTGTTTGGGTAGCAAGGACCGGTCTTTTAAGTTATTTATTGTAATGTCAATATTAATGTTAATTGAACCACAACCAAAATATTGGCAATTATGTTGAAAGCTGGAGATGGAAGGAGGGGGCATGGCTAAGTATTTAATCTCAATCTACCATACTAAGTCAGTAGAAATCTCTTAGTATTGATAGAAGAGTTAGTAATACAAACACATCTAGAAATACTGGAGGTAAATACTGGAAGAAAGAGCTTTATGAGAATGAGAATTGAAGGTCACAGGGTGGGAAACTGCTATTTTTTTGTTATTAGTCCTTTTAGAATTTGTATTAACCAGGGTTTTCCAGAGAAAGAAAAACCCAACAGAATATTTATCTTTTGATCTTGGAGGTTTGGTTAAATCTAAAATCTTGAGGGTGGAGCAGCCAGCCTGGCTAGCTGGGGAAAAGTTGTGTCTCAAGTCCAGAAGTGATCTGCTACTGAAATCCATCTTGCCCAGCCAGGTCAGTCTTTGTCATATTAGGGACTTCAATCGAAGGCTTAAATATATTCAGGAAGATAATCTACTTTAATCAAAGTCTATCCATTTAAATGTTAATTTCATCTTAAAACACCTTCACAGAAATATCCAAAATAATGTTTGGGCACCCATGTTGATGGGAAAAAATTAACCATGGAGGAACTATTGGATTTTTAACCATATGACACTAAACTAAAAACCCTCCTATTTTAAAAATTGGGCCTGGAAAATATATTTTTAAGAACATGGAGACTGCCTATAGTAGCCGCATCACACAGGAAATGTTTGTTCCATGAATAATTGTCTTTTTAAAAAGAAATGTAATCATTTTCACTTTTGCTCCTTAGATATTTCTATTCATGTAAAGAGGGGTTATTCCTTTATCAATAACTGGAGGCACATATCTCTGTACTAGGCATTTTTAAATTTCTGAAATATTTTCTTTGATATGAAATAATTTCTGCTATACTATATGCTTTAAGTATGGAACTTAAGCTAATGCTAAGGTTATGTCATAGCAATGTGTTGTAGTAATACAAACCTTTACCATCTACCATTTCTGTGTTTTCACTACTCTAGATTGGAAATAATTCAACTTGGTCAAGAAAAAAGATATGTATGTGACAAACTGGAAAAATTACAGAAGAGAAATGATGAATTGGAGGAACAATGTGTACAGCATGGGAAAGTTCATGAGACAATGAAGATCAGGTAAGGAGAATTTACTGAGAAATGAGGCACCACACATGGAATACATCTGAACAGAAATGGGAGCGTTCTTGTAAAGTGAGGAGAAATTAGGGGCATCCTGCTAATTGACTGTATGCTCAGAATCTTCTGCTGCTCCATGTTTTTGCTTCCTTAATTTGTGGTGTTCTTATAGGCTGAAGACATTGAATTGGACTTATAGAACAGTAGGGGAAAACCATTTATCTTAAAGTATAAATTGACAATATTTAGAATAAAGGAATTTCAAACCGTTTCTTCTACCTGTTAGGCTTTAATATTGATGTAAAATAAAACATGTAGCAGAGCTAAGGAGGTTAGAGACCTTAGCAGGCTTGTACTAATGGAATTACTAGCCAGAACATGACTTCAAACCCCTATGTCTTGTTAATAGTGTTACTTTGAGTAAGCCACTCAACCTTTCTGAGCTTCTATTTTGTTACCTATCTTCTGGTGTTGATAATACCCACTTTATCTAAAGATTGAGTAAAGCCCCAGATTCATAGTAGCCACCTACTAGGTGCCATCAGTGCTGAGCACTCTCCTTTCTAGAGATAGAAACTGAGTTCACAGGGACTAATGGATTTGCTTGAAATCACATATGGAATAAGTAGTAGGGTTCACACTCCAATCTTTTTTAAAAATTTTTTTATTTATTATTTTTATCTTATGTGTATGTGTGTATTACCTGCATGTAGGTAAGTGCATCCATGTCATACAATGCCCACGGAGCTCAGAAGAGGCTGTCAGATCCCCTGGTACTGGAGTTACGGACAGTTGTTGGCGGCCATGTGGGTGCTGGGATTCGAACCCGGGTCTTCTGCAAGAACAGCCAGTGTTCTTAACCACTGAGCCATCTCTCAGCCCTCATACTCAAATCATGATCGTTGGACTCCAGCTTCCTTTTCCGTTTTGTGTGGTATTTGGGTTTTGTTTTGTTGTAAGAAATGTAGCCCCTATTTTGTGAATATACCATTTATAAACTCTGATCCTAGATTTCCCCAAGAATAAAAATCTAGTTCTCGTAGCCAACCATGAACTGATTTCTGTAGGTTTGGACTTGTGCATACTCAAGAGCAGTCAGCTTTCCAGTGGAGATAGTTTCTCGGCTTCCAGCCCCCATCTCCACTCCACTCTCTAGCCACCCTGTGCCTTCTCTGTTTCAAAAACAGTTATTGATACAATTAGGATCAAATGGAAATATCCATAGATCCCACTTTCTTAACCATAAGATAAACATAGCATGGATAGACACAGTGGTAGTGAAAAGCAGTCAGAACACAGGACTGATTTTCAGTTACCAACATATTAAAGTACAGGTATATCTGCAAAGAAATAGTCATTCATTCATTTGTTAAAACGTTTATTTAAACCTACAGCCAGTGTTCTAGGTCAGAGGTCAACAACCTTTTTTTTTTTTTTTTTTTTGGTAAAGGCCCAGAGCATAAGCTACATAGGGTCTCTGTAATGAGATTCTGAGGGCATTGGGGGAGGAAGAGAACCTATTTAAAAAGTAAAATACCATTCCTACTTAGAGAGTCAACAAAACAAGGCACAGTATTTGGCCACTAGGCTATAGTTTCATCTTTAGACAACCAAGGTATCTTTGTTTTGCATTGGTATATTGCTTTATAATTCATAAAATTCACTCTATCTCCTATTTTATGTACTTGGAGGCAAACCTGGAGAGGAGCTATTATTAGCATCTCCATTTCCATGTGGGGAACTAAGGCTTAGAGGGACAAATTTGCCAACTGAAGGGAAGAGAGCAAATGAATGATTCATCCCTTTACCAAATATTTATTGATTGCCACTGTGTGTCAGGGTCTCTACCATGTACTGGGAAGAAAACAGCAAGGTAGATGTGGTTCCCACTCTAGTGGAGCTTATATTGTTTTAGGAAGATAGATATTAATGAAAGAAATATACCAACATTTCAGTAAATACAACAATTTTTGGTTTTATGAAATAAAAATGTTCTGTGGTACAAGGACATTAAACAAAAGGACATCCTGATTGGGGAGCATTTCAGTGAGAAGTTGACAGTCTATAAGTGGTAAGGTTAGGATTATTAGCCTTGCAGGTTGGGAGTTTGCAAGCCAAACTCCCAGGGTCATAGCCAAACTCCTGCAGCTCATCTCCCAGGATCATAGTATGCTCATCATGTGCCTGTCAATCTGTGGCTGCTTTTGTGCTACAGTGTCAAGATTGAGATGTTGAGTCAGTGACTGGCCTCTTGCCCCACAAAGCCTGATTTATTAGCTAGCCCTCTCCCAAAAGCTAGGTAACACCTGTCGTAGAGAAAGGAAAACTGTAGAACTACAGGTATTGGCATAGGAAAGCATGGCTCTTTTGAGGAAGAGCATAAACTGGGTGTCTAACACAAAGAATGAATGAAGCGACATCATGCAGTGAGGTTGAAGAGTTATACATGGGCCAGACCCACAGGCATGGCCTTTGCCTTGTTACACCAGACCCTTTACTAATGAGAATAAATATATATTTTTAAGTGGAGGAGAGTGATGTGATCTGATTTGAATTTTAAAAATAGCCCAGAGTAAGTAACAGATTGGAGCAGAACTAATAAGTTAGCTAGTAGAGCAGTCAAGGGTTGATGGCGGTGGCTTGGGCTTGAGGAATGTTAATGGAGCGAAGAGAAACAGATTGGTGAATTACATAGGAAGTAAAATCCATGGGACTTAACTGAGCTGCTGCTAATGTTGTGGGGAGAAGGGAGCATGTCAAGGACAATACCCATGTCTCTGCCATGAGTAGTGGGTACCTACTCATACTACTTACTGAGCACTGGAGAACTCTCAAAGAGAAGATTTTTGTGGTTGAGATTGCCTGGGTTTGGGATAGGAGCAAAGATTAAGTTTTGCTCATGTGAAATTTAATGTTCAAATGCATTTTTCAAATGAATAAGCAGGTGTATATAAGGAGCTGGACTGGGTACATAGATCTAGGCTGGAGATAGAAATCTCCCTTGCCTTATGGAGAATATTTGAAATCTTGGGGGTAAATGAGTCCTCAGGAAGAAACAGTAAGAAGAAAGGAAGGGCTACTCTGTCCTTAAGGAACACCTACACTTTTAAAGGTAAGGTAAACACTGGCAGAAGAGACTGACACAAAGCAACCTGGGCAACATGGAAAGGACTGTTAAGCATCCCAGGGATGCCTTGGGAAAGAGGAAGTGGTCAACCAGATGCTGTTGAGTGACACAGTAAGGCTGAAAATATCTGTTGGCCTTGGTGACATGCATATCACCAGCTTTGTCAACAAAAGCAATTTTTGGTGAAGAGTAGGTGTGGAAAGCAGACAGAGTGAGTTGAAAGAGTTATTTGAAAATCTGAAAAGGCAAATTTTAACTACTTTTTTATGAGGTGAGTGACATGGAAAAGCAGCAAGCCAGGGATGCCAACCAGCTCATGGTAGGCCATGTATTGTGGGGCATTTTAGAGCAGAGATATCTTAAAAATTAAGTTGGAATAAATATAAATGCATTGAAAATTCTTATTGTACAGATCAATAAAATTTCAACAATCAAGAAAGAAAGTTAAAATTTCCTGTGGTACCCACATAGACAGTCTCTGAGTCCATGTTAAAGATAATAATGACTTTTTCCCTCTATTGTAAAATGAGGACTGATTCACATATCTCTACTGTAAAGCAGAATGGGTTGCAACATGATCGAGTCTCAGTCAGCAGAGTCCTGCTGGACACTAGTGTTCTCCCGTCCTGCCACACACTGTGTCTGCAACCCCAGCAGTCCTGGCTGTGCTGGCGAACACTTCTGTGCCTCTTTCCTTTTGGATAATAAGTGAGCAGTTCATTTGAAAGATATGCACAAATCCATTGTCTAAATACATGACATTTCTGATTGAAACATATATAAGATAATAATGAATTTAGCTTGGATATTTTTCTCTAAACCAGAAGAGCATCTTTATGAAATCCTCACATTCTGTTTTTCTAATGGAAACTTTATTCCTCAAAAAGCCACTATTAAAGATAGAAAACACAGTACTGAATTTTAGGCAGTTCGACATTTTTATTTTGTTGAATTAAGGCTACTTATTATTTTCTAAGAAGTATATGTAAATCTAAAGAAGCCTGAAATTATAACCTGTATGCCATCATTTTCAAATAAAAAGAGAATGCTGTAAGAATGAGATTCAATCAATACTCCAAAAATAAGAATTCCAGGAAAAAATGGAGCTTTTTCTATTTGTTTGATTCTTTTAATATGAATTTCATTTCTAATTGACATTTTAGGGTATATTTAGG